TCAGCACAGATTTCCTCCCACACATTCCAGCTCTAGAACCACCTAACACATCTTCAACAACATCAGCAGCTTCTATCACCAGCACCACTGCAGTAGCTTCCTAAGTGATCTGTTCATGTGCTCCCTTGTCCTCCATGCAATCCAACCCCAAATAGAAGTCAGAGTGATTTTTCAAAAATATATTAATAAAATTGTAACACTATACTGCAAAAAATCCTCCAATGGCTTTCCATAATATTTGTTATTATTGTTAGGTGCCAGCACACAGGTCCCAGTTCATAGTGACCCTACGCACAACCACAAGAAACACTGCCTGTCCTGCACCATCTCCACAACTGTTGTTAGGTTTCAGCCCATGGTTGCTACTACTCTGTCAACCCCATCTCATTAGGGTCTTACTCTTTTTTCACTGACCTTCCACTTTATGAAGAATGACATCCTTTTCCAGGGATTGGCCTTTCCTGATTGTTGTTGTTACTGTTAAGTGTCATCAAGTCGATTCTGATTAACAGTGACCCTGTATAGGGTTTTTCAGGAGCAACTGGTGAGCTTGAACTGCCAACCTTGCAGGTCAAACAACCCTGCAGTCCATTGCATTTATCCACAGTGCCACACCTTGCCTGATAACATGTCCAGATTATTGGCAGGTCAGACTCACCAGCTGTCCTTGGAAACTCTACACTGGGTTGCTATGAGTCGAAACTGACTCGACGACACTTAACAACAACAACATGGGCATAATATTGAATAATGCAGAAAGCATCAAAAGAAGATAAAAGGTAATACACAAATTCACTGTATCAAAAATAAAATAGACTATGTTCAATCATTTCAAGAGATAGAATATGATCAAGAGTTAATGGTGATGAAGGAGGAAGTCGAAGGTGCACTGAAGGCATTGGTAAAGTACTAGACTCTGGGAGTTGATGGAATACAAATATAAATCTTTCAAAAACTGGATGCAGCCCTGGAGGCACTCACACATCTATGCCAAGAATATGGAAGACAGCTACCTAGCCAACTGATTGGAAGTTATCCATATTTGTGTCCATTCCAAAGACAGGCAACTCAACAGAATGCAGAAATCATAAGACAATACCACAAATATCACATCTAAGTAAAATTTTACTAATAATAAATCAAAAACAGCTGCAACATGTACATTTTATCTTCTTTTGATGCTTTCTGCCAATCTTGTGATTCAAACTGACCTTGCAGTCCTGCACCTATCTTAATCCTTCATTATTTTAAGTCAAGTCTTGAATGTTTTCTTCAGTTCTTTCCGCTTGAGAAATGCTGAGCGTTGTCCCTCCCTTTTGGCTTTCTAACTCCAGGTCCTTGCACATTTCATTATATTTGACTTAGTCTTTTCAGACTGCCCTTTGAAATTTTCTGTCCAGCTCTTTCAACTTCCTCAAAGTCTCTTCTGACATCCATTTTGTTTTTTTCCTTCTTTCTTGTCTTCTTAATGGCCTTTTTTCCTTCTTCCAGTATGATGATCTTGATGTCACTCCTGAACTCTTCTGGTCTTCTTTCATTAGTGTCTAGTGCATCAAATTTGTTTTTGAGGTGATCTCTAAATTTAGGTGAAATATGTTCAAATTTTGGCTCTCGTAGAATCACTTTTTCTTCAGCTTCAGCCTTAACTTGCACATGAGAAATTGATGGTCTGTTCTACAGTCTGTCTCCAGCCTTGTTTTGACTGATAATATGGAACTTTCTCCCTGTCTCTTCCTATACATGTATTCAATTTGATTTCTATGTATACCATCTGGAGAAGCACATATGTATAGCCATCTTTTATATTGTTTGAAAAATGTATTTGCAATGAACAAATCACTGGTCTTGCAAAATTCTATCATGGAATCTCCAGCATCGTTTCTATCACCAAAACTGTAGTTTCCAACCACTGATCCTTCCTCTATGTTTCCAACCTTTGCAATCCAATCACCAGTAATTACCAATACATCTGGAATGAATATTAGATCAATTTCAAACAGAAGAAGTTGGTAGAATTCTTCAATTTCATCATCAAAGGCTTTAGTGGTTGGTATGTAAATATGAATACTTCATTTACTTTATAATCACTGGTTTTAATTGTTGGTATAAATTTGAATAGAATTAACTGGTTTTCCTTGTAGGTATACAGATATTATCCTATCACAGACTGTATTATACTTCAAGATAGATTTTGAAATGTTCTTGATGATGTATGTGACTCCAATCCTTTTCACTTTGTCACTTCTGGTTTAGTAAACCATAGAATCTGTCAGATTCTATATAGCAAATACCAGTCCATTTTGGCTCTTTAATCACATAGTATATCAATCTTTATGTGTTACTTGTTACTTTTGACAACTTCCAATTTTCCTAGATTCATATTTCATCCATTCTATGTTCTGATTATAAATGTTTGCAACTCTTTCCCCTAATTTGAAGTTGTGCTCCACCAGCAAATTAAGGTTCTGAAAGCTTTATTCCATTTGTGTCCTGATTAACTCTACTTTGAGGAGGCAGCTCTTTCCTAGACATATTTTGAGTGCTTCCAACCTGAGAGGCTCATCTTCTGACACTAAATCTGACAATATTCTGGTGTTATTCATCATGTTTCAATATGCAATACTCTGGTGTTCCTCTGAGTATTGCCAGTGTTCCACTGCTATTCCTAAGGTTATCAGTGGCTAATCTTTCAGCAGTAGTCTGCCTCTTATTCTTCCTAGTCTGCTTTAGTCTAGAAGCTCAATTGAATGCTGTCTACCAAGAGTGTACCTTGCTCATATTTCAAAAACTGGTGGCATAGCCTCCAGCATCATAGCGACATACAAGCCACCACAATACCAGAAATAGATAAACTAATGGAGGTCCTTATAAATACTGGGTTCATAATAAGTTTTTGCCCTTGTTCTAGTTTAAAAAATGGTGGTATTGTATAACATTCTAGAAATAATACCTCAACGCACAAAGAATACAAAGGAAACAAAAGAATAATAAAAAAAATAATAATTGCTCTAATTGTCTATTTTACTACTGTCCAGCTCTTTCCTGTTCTTGTCTGGCTAAACTTAGCTTTCAAAAGTTATTTGGTTGGCCTCTCCATTCTTGCTAAACCTGGTCTAAATGAACTGCACTGTCTTAAATGTATTAATGCTTCCCAAAGTGTTCAATGAAGTTCTTTCTACAACCAGTCAATTTCATAATATCTTAATAGCTTTTGCCATATCTGATAACCTCCCAACTATACAAGGAATCTGCAAAGGACAGCTCACAGGCCAAAACTTGCTCACCACTTGTGTTGTCCTTCCCTTAGGCTATGAGTAGTTTTTACTTTTAAGATACTGAAAAATCAAAAGAATATTTCTTAAAACATAAAATATATTAAATTCTAGTTTTATTGTTCGTAAGTAAACTTTTGTTGAAATAATTCATACTCATTCATTCACATGTTCTCTATGGCCATATTGAGCTACAATGTCAGTGTTGAATATTTTGACAGAAATCACAAAGCCTAAAATATTTATTCTCTTAACTTTATAGACAAAACTGGCTCATCCCTGATTCTGACAAAAGTATTTTCCTTTAAATTGACTCACCTAATTTACTTGAGAGTATTTTACAATAACACTTGACATTACTATTATGGATGGAAAATGATAATTATCCTACCTAGGACCATTTTTAAATAAATTCAATAGTAGAATATAATTAATTAAAAACAAGCTTGTTATTGATTCTTGTATGCCTGAAACTTGGTCTATGCTAAATACGGTAATGAGCAGTTCTCAGTAAGGTCTTCAAGATTAGCAGTAAACCTAGACTCTATGTATTAAATCAGATGAATACAAATGACCTGGAAAGGCAATTTCTTGCTATTTCTAATTCATCTTTTATGTCACATCCTCCTGCTAGTCCACACTTGGAAGTATGTGACTTCCCACGCAAGTCCCACAGTTTTGGGGATGCTAACCAACGAATCGGGCTGTGAACTGCAAGTTCAGCAGTTTGAAACTACCAGCTGTTCCGTGGGAGAAAGATGAGGCTTTCTGCTCCTGTAAAGATTTATAGCCTCAGAAACCCTGTACAAGGTTGTTGTGAGTCAGAACTGACTCAACAGCACTTAACAACAAACAACAACCTACATACACATATGGACTCCTGTTGTGGCACTGCAGGATAAGCACTAGACTGTGAACCACACAGTCAAGGATTCAAACCAACCAGCTGCTCCTTGGAAATTCTATATATGGTGGCTATGAGTTGGAATAGACTTGATGGTGCTTAACAACAACAACCTATGGTATTCCCTACTGGTGTGTTCCAAGTCAACAGCTTCAATCTTGCATTTTGCTAAAAGAGTCTTTCCTGATCTGTACAGAATATTCTCCACTAAGAAAAGAGCTTTGCTAGATTAAAGCTCCTTCTTTCAAAATGACTTCTGATTTAAAAAATAATTTCACACTGTAGTACTGAATCTATTCACTAAAGAAAAGTGCAATTTATAAGATTGGCTTTCCTCAGGTTGATTTTGAGGTCTCTTTAAAAGCTATGTTGTTAAATGCCATTGAGTCAGTTCTGACTCATAGCAACACTGTATAGGGTTTCCAAGGAGTGGCTGATGTGTTTGAACCACTGATCTTGCAGTTTAAACCAATCTTGAGATCAAGTGCTTATCCTATGGTGCCACACCAGGACTACTTCATATATATATATACATATGTATATGGTGATGGTGATTATGTGCCATGGAGTCGGTTCCGACTCACAGCAACCCTGTACAGGGTTTCTGATGCTATAAATATTTACAGGAGCAGAAAGCCTCATCTTTCTTCCGTGGAACAGCTGGTAGTTTTGAACTGCTGACCTTGCAGTTAGCATCCTGATTCGTAACCACTATGCTACTATATATATATATATATATATATATATATCTCAGATTATGACTTAGGATGCAATACCCACTAAAGCAACTTATTGATAACAAATTGAATCCAATGTTTCCTTACGTTGTCCACAGTAAGTTCCAATATAACCCTTCTGACACTGGCAATGGTCTTCCGCACAGGTACCTCCATTCATACATCGAACACTGCACTGCTGAACTGCAAAGTACAAAAAAAGATATAAAAACATCACTCAATAAAATTCATAATGGGTGATGTGTAGAAAACTAAAAATCCAATTCAGAAGTAAGCACTACAACCCATGTATATCTTTATTATTTTTATTCATACATACTTGGACATATCTAGGTTATGTTATCTGGCATATATTTAAAACACATGACACTTTCAGTGTTTTAGACAATAAACTGAAAGTGTCCAGTAGTAGCATCATTTCTAGTATACTGGGGAACTTATTCTTTATTTAGAATACAGGTATTGGGTGTCACCAACGTGCTTAATGCTGAGCAGCAATGTTAGATCTGGTTTCCCCTCTCACGGAGGTTGCAGTCCATTGAGGAGAGAGACAAAACACAAGTACACAAAAACCACAAGGTGATTGATTATATGCTGTAAGTTCTTTGAAGGCTACTAGTTTGTGAAGGGAAAGGTGTGGAGCTGAGGAGAAATTTAGATACAGGAGCCAGACAAGACCACTGTGATAAGGCACTAAAACTGACTGAAAGCATGGGAATGAACCAGTCATGAGATAAGCCAGAGCAGAGATTCACAGGAAGAGAAAACAGCAAATTAAAAGACTGTAGAAGGGTAAATTAAAACATCCATGTGGGTAAAATAAGATAGACTGAGAAAAGGAGACCTTGGAGAAGTAGCCAAAGTTCAGATAACCAAAGGCTTTGTCCATGGAAGAGTTTGCATTATATCCCAAGTGTTGACTGGGAGTCAGTGAAAGGCTTTAAATAAGAGATTGAGGTGATCAGACTTCTTATTTTAAAAGACTAAGTGCTGCCCAAAGAATGGGTTTGAAGCAGTTAAGAGTATTAGATGGTGACCTCACTACTCAATTTCAAAATTTATTACACAGTTACAGTGGTCAAAATAGCTTGGTACTGGTACAATGAAAGATACATTGATCAATGGAAGAGAATCAAGAATCCAGAAATTAACCCCTCTACATACAGCCTTTCAAGAAAGTAAGGCAGCACAGTAGGCACTCACTCATCTCTGCCAAGAAATTTGGAAGACAACTATCTAGCCGACTGATTGGAAGAGATCCCTATTTGTGCCCATTCCAAAGAGAGGTGGCCCAACGGAATGCAGAAATATTCAGACAATCTCTTTGATATCCCATAAGAGTAAAGTTTTGCTCAAGGTAATACAGAAATGGCTACAATCATACATTGACAGAGAGCTTCCAGAGGTACAAGTCAGATTCAGAAGAGGCCGTGGAACGAGAGAAATCATTGCTGATGTCTGATGAATCTTGGCTGAAAGCAGAGAATATCAGAAAGATGTTTACCTATGCTTTATTGACTACACAAAGGCTCTCAATTGCATGGATCATGACAAGCTATGGACCAAGAAGCAGGTGTTCAAACAGAACATGGGAACACTGAATGGTATAAAATTTAAAAAAAGTTGTGTGACAAGGTTGTATTCTTTCACCATACTTATTCAACCCGTATGCTGAGCAAATAAAATGAGAAGCTGGGTTCTATGAAGAAAAAAGTGTCATCAGGATTTGAGGAAGACTCATTAACAACTTGCGATATGCAAAGGATACAACCTTGCTTGCTGAAAGTGAAGAGGATTTAAAACATCTATCGATGAAGATCAAAAAGCACAGCCTTCAGTATGAATTACATCTCACTGTAAAGAAAACAAAAATCCTCACCACTGGACCAGTAAACAACATTCTTATCAATGGAGAAAAGATTGAAGCTGTCAAGGATTTCTTCTTCTTGGATCAACTATCAACACTTACGGAAGTAGCAGTCAAGAAATCAAACGACGTATTGTATTAGGCTAATCTGCTGCACAAGACCTTTTTAAAGTGTTGAAGAGCAAAGATGTCAGCTTGAGGACTAAGGTGCACCTGGCCCAAGCCATGGTATTTTCAATAACCTCATATGCATGTGAAATCTGACCAGTGAATAAGGAAGACCGTAGAAGAATTGATGCCTTTGAGTTATGGTGTTGGAGGAAAGTATTGAAGGTGCCATGGGCTGCCAGAAGAAACAAAAGATCCGTTTGGAAGAAGTGCAGCCAGAGTGCTCCTTAGAGGCCATAATGGCCAAACTTTGACTCGCATACTTCAGACATATTGTCAGGAGGGACTAGTCACTGGAGAAGGATATCATATTTGGTAAGATGGAGAGACAGAGAAAAAAAGGAAGACCCCCAATGAGATGGATTGGCCAAGTGGTAGCATCAATGGACTCAAGTGTGGCAACAGTAGTGCGGCTGGCACAGGATTGGGCAGTGTTTTGTTCAGCTGTGCATAAGGTCTCTATGGGTCGGTATCAACTTGATGGCACCTAACAACAACAACAACACATACAGCCAACTGATTTTTGACAAAGTGCCTAAATATATCACATGGGGAGGTGATAGTTTCTTCAGCAAATGGTGCTGGCAGAACTGCAAAGTGATATGCAAAAGACTGAAACACGCCTTACACAAAAATCAACTCAGCATGAATTAAAGACCTAAATGTGAATCCCACAATTATGAAGGCCATCAATGAAAAAATAGGGACAAATGTGAGGGCACTAATTCAGGCCATACACAGACTACCAAACATTTTGAAAACTATACAAACAAAAGCAGACAAAATAGATCACTGGGACATATTAAAAATTAAAAACTTATGTGCATCAAAATACTTCACCAAAAGAGTAAAAAGAAAACCCACAGAATGGGGTTTCCAAAAATCTTTGGCAATGACACATCAGACAAGAGACTCATTTCTAAAATATATAGGAAACTACAACAGCTCTACAAGAAAAAGACAAATAATCCAATTTAAAAACGGGCACAGGACATGAACAGACACTTCACTCAGGAGGAGATCCAGGCAGCCAACAAACATATGAAGAAATGTTCATGATCACTAGCCATAAGAGAGATGTAAATCAAAACAACAATGAGGTATCATCTCACACCAGCATTAACAGCAAAGATCAAAAAAGTAGAGGACAATAAATGCTGGCGGGGATGTGGAGAGATGGGTATGCTCTTGCATTGCTGGTGGGACTGCAAAATGGTCCAACCTCTCTGGAAAACAATATGGCGCTTACTCAGAAGGTTGGAAATAGAAATACCTTATGATCCAGCAACTCCTCTACTTGGTATTTACCCACAAGAAATGCGAGCCATAAAATGAGTAGATATCTGCACACCAATGTTCATAGCAGCATTATTTACAATAGTAAAAAGATGGAAACAGCCTAAGTGCCCATCAATTGAAGAATGGATAAACAAACTGTGGTACATATACACAATAGAATATTATGCTATCTTGAAGAATAACAAGGAAACCGCAAGCCACTACATAACATATATGAACCTTGAGGTCATTATGTTGTGTGAACTTAAGTCTGTCACAAACAGAGAAATACTGCATAGGACCACTACTGTAAAAGACCAAGAAAAAGAAGCCATACTAAAGGGGGAGGGGTTCTTTGCTGATTACCCAGATATGGGGAGTGGGGTGAGGGGAGGGAGGAGAAGGTGGAGCACAGGGTAGGGAACAGACACAGGATAATTTGGGTGCTGAGGAGGGCAATACACAAGAAGGGGGAGGTGAATGGAAAAACATGGTGGGTGGGAGAACAATTAGGCAGGTTTGCATGGACTAAGTGGAACAGAGGTAAATAATGATGTATGCACAAACTTGGAACAACAGGGCTCTGGGATACAGAGATTGAGGCATGATTTGAATGGGGAAAACAATGTTAACATGCTTGGCTGTCTTTTGAATCTGGGTTTTCCTTGCATACCATTATAAAATAGACACTTGAGGGGGAGAGAAAGGAATAGCCAGAAATATCACCATAGAAATTTGTTAGTCCGTCTTCTGCCTATAATTGATTGGAATACCTAAAATGGGGCTACAATGTGCCCAATGAAGGTGGCTTCCTGAGGAGCCTCTGCATTGCATAAGACCATAGGTGTAATCCTGAACCCCATCCAGAATCTTCTGAGGTGGGCAATTTCCACTTGAATGGACAAGCAGACCAGCCTGGAGTGGCTAGAAGAACAGAAGATACTTATTGAAAGAAAGACCTACAGGAAAAATACAAACCAATATAGGCAGTCCAATTGATTACTACAAGAACAAGCAAGTTGCTCGCCCAGGAGAAATCAAGGCAAGTGGTTGGTTCCCCTCAGGGCATACTCCCTTCCAAAACTAATACTCAATGGGAATACACGAGAAGACATGCACTCTGACTGGTGACCATACTGCTCACTGATAAGGGGAAGTAAAGGGAAAACAGCAGTGAAGCTGTGAGCTAAGCCTACCACGTTCAATAAAATCCTGTGAACCCAGGTGAAACCAAGTTGGCCAGCAGTGTGGCAAGACCTGGGGACTCCTGGGCCCAGAGTCAGTGACACAGCCACAGAAAACTAAGTGGAGAATGAAGCATCCAGCTAATAAAAAGAGCGGGCACAAAAGCACCCACACTTGCAAACACCCACTTGACCTGGCTTCAATGGCTGGATCATCAGAACTCAACTAAAAAAAGAAAGAAGTAAAAAAGAGTAATCTGATACAATTTGATGAACTTGACCCACACCTCTGGATGCAGTAGCTCAAAAGAGGGAACAAATCTTAAAAAACAGGATCATTCCCACCCCCTCGATACACAGGGTAGACAGGGATGGGCATCTTGGTCACTGGCTACCCAAAATGGGGGGCTACAAAGGCAAGAAGTGACTGGCTTACAAGCTTTCAAGAGGGAGCTTAGATCCATAGGGTGCAGAGCAAGGTAGAATCTCCACTGAGTAGTATCCAATCTGTATACTGACTGATGAAAGGAGATGGGGATAAGACTCATGTGACAAAATAGTGAACAATTGAAGTCCAGAAGCGGAGGTCCCTGGGACCATCAAGGGAGAAAAACAGAGTGTGGGACCCTACCCAGAGAAACAGTGAAGCCAGAGATGGAGGCAGAGATGACGATGTGGAGAGATGG